ATATAACACATATTCTTAACATTATATCAAAAGCCAGGAGCAGTAGAACAATAGACTTATATATGTAAAATACAAAAAATATTATGTACAATTCCTATTAAAGTATGGGAAAAAATGTAATATCATAATATTATACTCCCTCTCCTATAAATAGAGATATCATTTTGTGAAAAATGATACCAAAATTAGCTAAAACAAACATGAAATGTCAACACCGTTGACACATTTTATTGTTTATTCACTCTTTTTTCTCTTACTTTTTTTTTAGACTCTTTTCCTTAGGGTGAGATTCAGAACAAAGTAGGATTCAAGTGTTGTCATTAATTCAACCATTTGCAATTGTTATATAAAACAAGCTTTTATTTGGTGTACTTTTTCCAAGACGCCAATGAATTGCTCTCAAATTCTCTTCAATCATCTTTTCTCGTTTAACTAAACTTATTCATATGTAGAGACGACTCCTACTGTTATTTCTTATAATAACAATTAAAAAATCATTTTCTTATTATCTCTCTTGATTATTTTTCTTCAACTTTTTATATTAGTTATACTTAAAAGGTCAACATGTGTAATGATTGCTTAACAATATATTTTTTGTTACAATTATCTACCAAAGCCAAGCTCTTACCAAGTCCACACAAAGTTATACAAGTCAACATCTCTTAATTGAAGTTTGACATCATCTAATTTGTTTGATCCATAACATATCGCCGCATCAAGCCCACCCAAAAGTAATCTCCTAAATTGCATGACAGACAATACGAAGATCAATGTAGGAGTACTTGGCTATATTTCTTCCTTCAGGCATATATACTCTTAGGGGGAAAAAAAGCGTTAAGAGCCATAAAGCCTTCAATCATCTATACTTCAATTAGAAGAAATATGAAGATAAAGTGCTTAACAAATTTTGGTAGAGTTGGCTCCCTACTTTCCTTATTTTAAAGGAGGCTTGAAATTGAGGCATTTCACATGCAATCTAGCTATGTGTCCAATTATCATTTACCTATAATTCAAATAAATTCTAATATGAGGGAATGGTTGTCTAACCTTAAGGCAAGTTAGCATCTTGCAATATGAATAAGGCAAATAAAAGCTTTAAATGCTATTACCATTGGATGGGGGACCTTTGTTTGATCAATGTATGCTTTTTTATTGGGGGGCATTTGCATACATTACAATTAATTCTTATGAATTTACATTTCTAACCCCCAAATTTTGTTTATCATATAAAAAAAATTTGCTATTTTAACTTTTAAAGAGTGAAATGCACCTTTTGATGCTTAGGTAGGGTGGCGAGTGTGTAAAATATGAAGTTTAAGTGTTATATTTGTAAATTCATAGGAATTGAGAGGCATGCATGTAAATTACCCTTTTGTTTTTTTGGTAAATTTGTCTGTTGCGGTAGTACTTGATTTTTTTTTATTGCAGATTTGTCTGGTAATTAATGGTAATTAATGGCAAAGAAGTAAATGTTATAAAGCTACTTTAGTTTACACTGGCATGACTTTGGGATTTATTACTATTACTTGTAAGCTAATTGCTCCATTTAGTTTAGAATGTAGAAGATGGTACCTAATGAGACTCAATTAAATGCTCTAAAAGTTGGAAATGTCATGCATGATGACTACCTAAATTCTGTATATATACATACATATCTATATAGTTAAAATATACTAATTATGAAAGGATTCATAGGCTAATAATTGTTGGAGAAAAAATATTTACTTTTAAATAACTTATTTGAACCATAAATTTAACAATTTATCACTTATTATGCTTACAAAATCACTCAAATATTTTTATTTACCATAGTATGACTAAAGATTTGAAAAATTCAAGTGTCTTCTCCTGCTACATTTTTGTTATCTGTTTATGTGTTGAATCTTCGTACAATGCTAAGACGTTAAATAATCACTCAACTGCTGTGAATTTTTCGACAGACAACAATCCTAAATTTAAATTTTAAAATTATCTTATAAAAAACATATTGATCTTCGTTTGGAGTATATTGGTTTTTTGGTGACTTATATATAGCACACTAATTCAATAAAACCGAATTTTAGGCGACCATAATGCTCGTACCTCACTGTTTATTTTTGAATAAAAAGAAAATAATATCATTTAGGTAGACGCAAGCATCGAGCTAAAGCGAGCGTACATGAGGGTTGAAGTTTTTTTTTTTTAGGTTATAAAATTTAATTATATATTTTGTAACTCATTAAAAAAGATTTATACATGGCATTACATTTTTATGTATGTATATTTTCAATGTTTAAAATTTTATGTTTTAATTAAAAAAAAATGAAAAAAGCATATTTATGCATAAATAAGATCATATACACTCAAAACTTAAAAGTTTAAGGATTAGATATGTAAATACATAAGAATTGCGTGGTGTGGACAAAAATATTCTTAAGAAAGAAAGATTTACATACATACCACTAAATTCTTTTGTAATTATACATTTTTACATCTATTCCACCTTATCTATATATGAAAATGTGTTTTTTATTTTTATTTTCTTATATTCAAATAACATTATTTTTGATATGATATGATATGAAAAATTTGGGTGGCATGACAATTAAAGATAAAAGGAAATTTTGCATATGTAAAATACAATTCTTATGTATTTATATAATTAACATCTAAACTTTCATATTTACATATAACATGTTTGTGCTTTAAACTTATACATAAAATGTGTATTTAACTTTAAAGGTGCTATTAATGTATGTTTAATAATATTATGGATTTGATTGTTTTATGTGTAAATATGAAACTTTAGGTGAAAATATGTAAGTAGTTAAAATAAAATTTAGGTGTTCGATATGTAAATACAAAGAAATTAGGTAGTAAATACACTTGCTATGTCCTATGTGTACTTCACCGCGGCATCTCGTTCGCTGTGGCTGACAGATACCCTTGTCTCCGCTTTGGCCCTTCTCAACTCTAGACTCTCAATTTGCACTGAGATACCATTTAACGAAAAATCAAATAAGTATCGGCTTCAAACTTTTCATCTCCTCATCTTCATCTTCCTCCAATTGTCTGACGGTTGAGCAATGCTTACCTTAAGCCTCAATTCGTCATTCTCTTCTTACCCCGAATTCTCTGCTTGGCATTCCTTCAGCCGGAGGAGCATGAGATCACGAATTCGTTCTCCGTGCTTGACGAGCAAGAGTTTAGGGTTCTGGAGTTTGCCAAAGGCGGTTCTGAGCGCGGATAGGGCAGTTGAAAGCGGAGGTGGGAAGGGTGAGGAGGCGGAAGAGTATGACGCGATCGTGATCGGATCGGGAATCGGGGGGTTGGTGGCAGCCACGCAGCTCGCCGTTAAGGGGGCCAGGGTTTTGGTGCTCGAGAAATACGTTATTCCTGGTGGAAGCTCTGGTTTCTACGAAAGGGACGGCTTCACTTTTGATGTCGGCTCATCCGTCATGTTTGGGTTCGGCGATAAGGTCATTGGTCAAACTCATCCATGTCTTGATCAGTATGATGCTGCTGCTTTTTCTTGTGCAGAAGCTGATAATTTGCTTGTTTTTTTTGGGCTAGCAATGTTTTAGTTGTGTTTATCATATATGTTGAATTTAATTTGATTCATGGAAATCACCTGAATACATGCCACGCAATTCTTGCTAATTACATACCTAACACCTGAACTTTATGCTTACATGTATCACACTTAAATCTTTAATATTACATAAAAAAATGCCACTATTACTAACTTTTTAAAAGTGAAATTATACCTTTTAATACATAGTTTTATGACACCAAAATGTAATAAATGTAAATATCAAACTTCAAATGTTAGATATGCGCATACATATTAATAGCGTGGTATATATGTGAATTTCCCTTGCTTTAATTTTGTCTTGTCGTGTAATTGTTTCTTTCAGGAGTTGTTGTGGCTTGGTTTTCACTTATCCCTTCTTCTAGAGAGGTTGCCAATATCCTAGTTTTTTATGGCTCGATCCCATACCAATTGATGCCAAACTCGATGGAGAACATCATCTATTTTGCCATGGTGCTGAATGAGCAATGGGATTAAGTGGAATTTGAACATGTTTCAGTATGTTTTTGTTGTCAAAGGCAAAAGGATTTAGCCACCTCACTTGCCACCAAGGAGATGAAATAGAGGGTTTAGCAAAGAACTTACAGTCATAGAAGAAACATTCCCATCAAGTCTTTAGGGAGGTCAGTTCTTATTTATTTTAATTTTTATGATGCCTTGCCGAAGTCATGATTAATGAAGTTCGATTATGTTGGGAGGTTGAGGTTAATATTTATGGATTTTAGGGATGAATCGAAACACCATGTGGAATATCCTCATCACAAAAGTCTCAAATGATGTGTTTACTTTGGTTTGTTTAACACTTTATTGTCAAAACATGTATTTGACCTTAATGTTGCCTTGTAAGTTTTGTCATCGTTGGCCTATTTGTGCTGTTCTTAGTGAAAGCCAACTTAGAGTTTTTTTTTATGATGTCAACTGAGGATGATGAGTTTGTCTTATTTATTGCAGGGGAGGAATCTCTAGTACAATGTCTTGATAATGAACTTGAAGCTATCAAGGGGAGTTCTCGTACTCCTGTTTAATAAATCATTGGACTTGTCAATGGCCATCTAAAGTTTGACGTCCGTTGTTCAGGTTGCGTAGGAGAGGCAAATTAGCATGCCACCTATTGTAGCTAAGGTTGTTGTGGAGGTGGGAAGGCTTTTGGTGTGCCCGCTAGAAGACTGTCATCTTCTTGCCACTTTGAGTGCTATAGACTGCGAACTACTTCACCAAATATCATGATACGATTGTCTTGAACATTATTTTTGAGCCTATTTTTTTGACAAGATAGTGAATGTTGCTGCCTATGACCTTAACTCTGTTAGTCATTTGAAAAAATATGGAAGAAGTTAGATAATTTTGTATGATACCTTGCATTATGCTATAATGCAACAACATAATGCTTGTTGGTAGTTATCATTTGATGTGGTGAGGGCTTTCAAAATTTTAAAGGGGGATAATCATTTTTAAAAGGGAATCATTGTTTTCTTGTATGATAAGGAAGTTGCATCTTCTTACTGAGGTAGAGAAGAGTGAAGGCACCTTTGTTGAAGGTTGAGATAAACATGATGGCAACTTCCAATTTGATGTCAACGTTAAAGGTTGAAATCTAGGACAGTCTATTCTTCATCTCGACATTGTCAAATTAGCTAAAGCTTGCTAGGAAGTAATCTATTGAGCCTAGGATCACCAAGGAAGCATGGACCTCTAGGCCCATTACCTTTATGATTTGTTGGATGTTGATAATAAGAATTTCATCTTACTCGAGGAGTCAATCCCAAGGCTTTACTTTTTTGAGTCTAAAGTGGTAGCAAAGGTTAACGAAAAACTCGAAAAACTTGCGAAAATTACTTTTTCAAGTCGGCGAAACTCTTCATGAAGCCTTGAAGGAGAACTCCTTGATGAAGGTGACCTCCTTTGAGGTTTCGAGTGAATTTGAGTGCTCAAAAGATCTTTGAATTTTGGTTGAATGAAGGTTCAAAGGTGGTGTCATTTATTATTTGGATGTCTTTTTGAAGTTAATATCATTATCTCGAAAAATGTCGACCTTGAGTCATTTCTTCACCAACTTGTCTAACATGAGATTGATTAAAGATGAGGATGAGTAGGCATGTTGCTGCTTTTTAAATTCCTTTTTTTAAAAGCTATTCTATAATGAGACAATTAATAAATAAATATTTGGAAAAATTGTGTAACAGAATTGCAATGAAATTTTCATTAGATTTTTATTTTTTATTTACTATTGATGACATTTGTTATTCAGTGATGAATAGCTAACCATTATTTGTTTGCTGGCTTTTTGTCATTCTCTACCTTTTGATATTTTCTAGAACAAGTTGTGGTTGATGCCCTTTGTTATCATTGCTGTTTCGAATTTAAGAATTGCCTCTTGAGAGTAAACGTCACCTACTAAATGTAGATCTAGCTGAATTAAAGGAGTCTAAGTTCAAAGGCTGATTTTTTTCTCTCATGCTATTATTTGAACTATGCGATGCTCAATTACTATTATGTTGACTATGTATGATCATTTGACCATGTGTGATTATTGTGAAGCATATAATACAAAGGGGTTGAGATGAGCCTTAGTGAGTTGTTTGATCTTTTATGATAACACTTTGCTTTAGGCTACTTGGCAAGTTATCACAAGCATGAGTTGCATTTTCGTTGACATTCGTCAACTCACTTTATGGAAAAAATGCATCACATAGGTTGCTTATTAATAAAGCTTTTCTTTGTGGGCTTTGGGCTCACATCAATGAGCATTTCACTCTTAGGACCGGCTCAATGTCTTGAAGGAAGAATTATACCCACTCTTGTATGTCAAAAGTCAATTTCAGTCATGCCAGGTGTTGGTGACTAGTTAAGCTCTCTTTTATTGTGCTCCTTTTTTATACTAGAGGGAATATGACTTAACCAAACAAGATATCCGACTTCCTTGAGGGCTAGTGGCTCTCCTTAGGGAGGTGTCTATCATATAGGCTTACCCATTAGCGGGTGATTTCTCGAGAGCCATCTGCTCACCTTGACTAGTTTGTACTAGTTCACTCATTCTTTATTAGATGAGTTAGGACTTGAAAAGACAAAAAATAATATTATTAGTTTTTTTCTTCTTTCCTTTTTTAATCTAATCTTTACCAAATTTTATACGATGTGACTGATAGACTACACCACATTTAAGAGCCACAGGCTTGTTTGTTAGTGAAAACAATATATCATGAGGGCCATTAGCTCACCCCAAAGAGGATTCAACCTTGAGTGCCAGTTGTCCATCATTTAATCATGTGCAATTTTCACATTAATTATGAAATTGAATTTTACTAAAAACTGAAATTCTTGAGAGTTTTTGGAGTGCTTATACTCTGTGTATATGATAATTCTCTATACTGTACAATTCTTATATGTTATAAGCATCATACTCCTCCATTGTTTAAGCCTTTATAATCCATTTTGTTAGTCTTATGGTTTTTTTTTGATAATTTTATCTGTCATCCGGCTCCGACTAATCAATGACAATTTCTCGTTTTACCACTAACACTCAATGCTTTAACCATTTTCCCACTAATTTTAGGTTTGTTTGCTCCCATGAATAGGTACGCCCAAGTGGGTATATTCATATTTTCTGCTTCCCCGCTTAACTTATCTTAATGAGAATTTTTTACGGGCTTCCCTCATGTTGACGAGCCCTCATTTCTACCTCCATGATACTTAGATGTCCACTTGTCTTTTCTTTTTCTAATGTTAGGGTTTTCTTGAATCAATTTTAATTTTATACATCATTTTTAGCTGCACTTGTTATTATGCTTGGTTGGAATGTTAACTTGTGTTGTTGGATTATGAAGGTTGAAGTCTCCGGTGGTTGACTTGACTTTTGTACTTGCAAATGTAAGTGCACGTGTCAACTAAATAATATGGTGTATTTGAATAAGAGATCGTTTCCATGTGGATAAGTTGTGAGTTCTGAAAAATAGAATCATCGAAAGATGATTTTTATGTTTTTTAAAATGGCAAAAATTTTAAAATATGATTTTTTTATTTGAATTTACAACCTATATTATCAAGTTCTAGGGAATGATTTTCATTTAAAATCTTGTTGTTAATCAGGAACATAAATAATTTTTAGCCGTTTTCAATAGCTAGAAACTCTACTTTTAAAAAATCCTTAATGTTATATATCTTTGCAATTAGTGGATTTCAAAATTAGTTTTTTCATTTCCTTAAACGATTATTATGATTGAAAAGCAATATATCTATTCTTTCAAATCCTGGTTATAAATCTTCCTTATTTAAAGTATGACTCTTTTGATATCATTAACTTACACTAAATATTAAGCAAGGGTTTGGTTATTAGCACTTTGACGCTCTAGATAATGGCGTTCCATTCTAACATTGCAGAGCCAAGCTCTTGGGATTAAACTAGTTGGAAACATTTTCAATATAGTTACATGATACTGCGGCGCTGTTGCAGTAAATGCTAGTGTAAAATTGTTACAGTGCTTTTGTGATATCTTATCAAGCTTATTATTCTGTCAATTTTCGGTAATAAAGTATAAAATAAGCATCATAAAAGCATAAAATAACATAAAATTTACACAAAAATACACCTAAGATTTATGCATTTTGAACGATTAGCAGTCTAAACTTTTTGAAGGGCTTCATACCAATGCTTCTTTTTTCCTTATCGTCAATTTATTTTCTCCTCCAGTCTTCTTTATATTTTCTTATCCTTTATTCCTTCTCTTTCCTTTTCCCTTCTATCTCATTGCCTTCATCAATCATCACTAAGCCATGTTTATTTCTTGTTCCTCAGTTCTTGCTCCAACTTCATTTTATATTTTTTATATTCTTAGTTCATATGTCGCCTCTTTTTTATATGATTTCTTTCATTTCATTCTCTATCTTATT